TTCTCAGAGCAGACCATGTCCTTTGCGCCAGTGACTAAGCACTGCACAACACGATGGTGACACATGCTAGAATAGTGCGCGCTGACACACTACAAAGTCCATGCACAATAGACAAAATCAAATCGTTACCATGAAAGAATCGAAAAATGGCACTAGTAGTTACGAGACAACTCATCTCTGGGACCAGTGAAAGCCACGCCGGAAATTCCAGGATCGTGAGCCCCGTCCCACAAGGCCGATTTTTAGAGTTGGATGAATCAAACACACACACACGAGTCTCAGACAAAGCAGCAACCGTCTTTTGCCACTTTTTTCTTTCCCCCTTCAACCGGGGGCGGGGGGGCAGCGATAAGGGCTCATGTGTCTCGCCAAGATCCCGTCTAGGGTTCAGACAGATATGAAGATCAGTCCAGGCGCGCGAATGAAAGACGCTTGGCGAGACCTTCTAGTTGCACCGGACAAGCCTTGGCCGAATCATATGGACAGAACCAAGTCATCTTACTACTCGGAGTATTTCACCTGGGCGGAGGTTTGCTCTCGGTGCAACTCTGACGGGCAGGTCCGTTCTGGCTTCTTGGCGGCAATCACTTCCTATTCGTGATCAGGAAGTGATTTATTTATACATACATAATCGTGTCAAGGCAGTGGCGCAAATGTTACCCCTCCCCGCCCATCGAGGGACGCCAACACCCGGTACATCACGGTACGTCCCGATCACCAGGCCCTAGGAGAACCTTGCTTGCTTGCCTTGTAGGTTTTGCCAAGAAATCGAACTCATGGGCGCGAAATTACTCTCTACTGTTCACTAGTTGCCACAACTGATACTCTCTCGGCAGATGTGATCCTGTTGGCTTCTGTGGTCGCCGGCAGTACTGTACATCCAGACAGCATTTGCAGCGCCACCTTTTCTCGATCCCATCGGCATGATGCTTGCGGCATATGACTTTTGTTTGCGCCAGCCACCGGGGCCCAAAAACGCGCATCGTGAGGTGTACATGACAAAGGTATATAGTTGCAGGTTTCGGGACGGGCGCAGTCATCAGATCGCTCTCGTTGGGCCTGCCAAGCCTCCGGGCCCCCGTCGATCATGGCCGAGTCTTGACAACTTCCTCGGTGGCACTTTTTTTTTTTTTTATGAACAGATCACCACCTGCTCCGCGCGCGCCGTCGTTCGTCGTTGGCGACCTCACACAAAATGGAAGAAAAAAGCACAACCCTTCTTGGTGGTCGCGGCGGCGCGCGTCCTCCACGATCCGCACACGCCCCCCCTTGGTCAACTTGGCAAGACATTCTAACCATGATTTGGCTCTTGTACTCGATACATCCTTCCAAGTACATGCACATCTTCTTTTTTCTTGGCCCAGTCATCACTAATTTGTAGATTATGCAAAATGCAAAGAGCATGTGTACTGTCCAACCCAGCGCCAAACGTATATCCCTGCGCCCACGCCGGGTTCTAGACACCACAAATGAGAGTTGGCAAGTTTGTTCGCATCTATCCCGGGGGATCTTATCCTCTTTTCTGGTACCGAGAGATGACGCGAAACACCGAAATCCCAAACAACCGGGCATGCCCCTTTTTCTGCAATTCCAGTCTGGCGAGGATCGTCAGTTTGCGATACGCACAGCCCTCTCCCATGTCACCCATTGTCTCGCAATTCGTAATATGCTTAAATTTTCAAAAGTCCCCAACTTTATCATTGCCGGTCTTCGAGTACGACGCTGCCAAACCCCCCCTGCGCGCTGACCCAGCACAAAGAGCAACGTGCGACGATGCTGAGCTCGCGTCAGACAAGACGGAGAACGCGGGGGGACAAGTAAGCTCGCGTCTGTACCAGGGCCGTGATTGACGTTTTCCTATCAGAGGGCAAACCCGTCGCGCGTCAGACTGTGTCACTTTGTTGAGATAGTAAAGCTGCCCTGTTGTGCGACCAGACACGACATTCACCCCCCCTTCTGGTGGTGCAAATCGACAACCTTAACCACCCAGTGCAACAGCAGCATTCGAGACAACAAAGCCTCTCGGTTCGCCCGTGGTCGTGGCTCCCTGTCTCATTGCGCAAGCAAGCCTATCTGCAACCTTAAAAAAGTTGTGCAACAGCGCAAACTGCCAAGAGGTCGGACGGGAAGGCGGTCGCCGCCGCCACATGGAAACATTTCTCTTGCGCCATTTGGGAAGAAAAGAACGAAAAAAATGTTCCCCCTTCTCTAATCGTGCCGGAAAACCATTCGTCAAGGGGGCTCTGTTCCGGCGCAGAATAGTCCCGTTCTTGGCAGTGGCTGGAAAATTCTCCTTATCCCGTTTCCTCAGCCTGACGTTGGAAAGCCAAATCGGGTCTTGGCTTCTCCTTGTCAGATCGACAAGTGCGGCGATTCGCTTACAATCGCTCCGTCAGCCATCGTTCCCCTTGTAACTATTGTCATCCTTTCTTTCGGGCACCCAATTTGCTTCCCGCCCGCGCCTCGGAGAGGGTAGGGGAAAACGAAACCCGACCGGCAAGTTGTCCATGACAGACTCTTGTTCCCCAATTGCCAAGTAAATTGGCAATGCAAAGGAAGGACGATCCGTGCTCCCCCTTCCCCCAGTCCGCATTCGACTGGGTTTGCTATCATGTTGCCAAGTCTGCAATGCCGCCCGGCTTGGGTGCCCGTCCCTCGTCTGGTTTTTTGTTTTCATCCGCCGCCATTGATATGCACATGCACAAATGTTCGCAAGCCCCCCCTTGTCATGTTCTCGGCGTTGTGGCTTTTCTGTCTTCTGCGCAAACCCCACCTTGTCTATACAATCCCATCGTTGGGCCAAGAAAAGTAAATCAAGGAGCCGATCGTGTCAGGTAGAAGGACCCGACACAGTGCATATGCATATATTCATGCCACCTTGTTTTATGCTGGCTAGTTGAGCCAATCGCCGCCACGGACCCTTCCATGATGGGTTGTATGGGTAGTGGCTGCAGAATACGTGTTGGATTGATCAACAGCTCAGGGGACCTTCCAATGACTTGTCACAACCTTTGGGCGGTCAACGTGCACTTGTTGAGTCAAAAATAGACCCCCGTTATTGCCGTTCCTTTGTCGAGTTCATCGCCGAGTTACATAGTTACAAAGCCATGCATGCCTGTCCGAGACGGAGGCAGGAATTCACTCATTCACCGGGGGTTTTGCGAAGAAGAAAAAACGCCTTGCCTCAACCAACGACAAACAATGTAACCCCCAAACGCCGGCAAAAGGGGCCTCGACCTTGGCATCCCTGGCAAGAGGCCCGTCCCTCCCACCGTCGGTACCGACAACGAGCCCGCGACCAGATTCTCGGGAGCGAACAATGCGCGCATTTACACCACCGCCCATGGCTTGCCTTTTATTGCTCACAAGCCTGTGAAACGGGCCAACGAGTATGTATTGATGTGTACGGAGTAACTACTGACAGAGGCTTTTATTTTGCTCTTTCCTTTACAGTGATAGGATCTACATGCGAGCCGACAGAGCCGAACAAGGCGCACCTGGTGACCCTCCAACATCGGCATCCCGGCTCAAGTCTGTTGACTTGTCCATTGTCGTCGTGGCAATTCTTTGTTAACCGCTGCAAGCGTTCTGCTGCTGCTGAACTAGTCGGCTTTCCAACGGCCTAATTTCACAGGACTCGGTTAACAGCTTGGCCAGGGGGAGCTCGAGTACTAAGATGACCCAGGAAATTGGGCGCATGAGCAGCTGTACCTTCTAAATGGCCGAGACATGAATTCAGCGATGAACTGGGCCCTGGGTTTCTGGCCTTTTTGCTCACCGACGTCCACAAGTAGACGCTGTGGGCATGGGGGTGCCGTCACCAATAGAATGAATCGGGAATGTCACATCCGGCGGCCTTTTTTCAATAACGTCCCCCCAGTTATAAAGTACTCGGATTAATACATGCAACAACGGAGCTGGAGCTGAGGCGCCATGTAGCGCTCACGATGGCTGTCGCATCGGGGTAAGAAAAGTGTCAACCACTTCGGGCCGACCACTGTCCAATGGAAGAGGGAACCAAGTGACAGGTCACGAATGTCCAACCCGGATCGTGTCCCACCGCCCGAATGCTACCCTGTGCTGTCTCTTCTTGGTCGTTTCTGGAAGGCATATCCGCCATCGGCTGACGAGTTATTACTCACTCTGCAGGGTAACCTTGGGACACGAGCCGTCAATGGTTGACACCAGGCCGGCATCACAGCACGCTTTCTGGATAGTTAATACAAGTGCAAGGGGAAATCACTACCCAGCGTGACTGACGTGTCGAGATGCTATCAGGGTTGGTAGCATCGAGTCATTCTTCCTCCTGACGCATTCTCAAGGTTGTTTAACACGAGTCTTCTGCCTGGTTATCCTCGTGTCAAGGTTGCTGCCTACAGGACAGAAAAGACTATTTCGTACACGTGAACTAATATGTGAGATGCGCATGCCAGGTAGAAACAAACAGAATGATTACATTACCAGAGCCATCTCAAAAGGACCTTGCGTCGATGGTGATCGCTGACACAAATCAGCACTACCAGCCAGCAGGCATCGTGGAGGTGGCGTGTTTCTATTCAAAAGATGATATAGAGTTGTAACAGGAAAAAAAAAACCAATGACAGTACTTGGTTGCTCGAGGCTTATTTGGCTATGGAAATCGTAACACCCGAACACAAGCTCGCGCCCTACAGTGGCAGCGTCAGCATCACCAACATCAATCATATTCACACATCAGCGATGCTCCAAAGTATAGTAGGCAGTCAGCCAGCACCCCCCAAAAGGAGATGAACATCGATAATTTGTAGTGTAGACAAGTGTCAAGAAAATATACACCTCTTTCCTCATTATTCCAAGCAAGCAATGTTCTCACAGGCGGTTCCTCTGTCCAAGCAGCAAATATTCCTCGTATCTCCCAGAAGCAAAATTAATCCATATCAGGTTTTGCACCACATTGTGACCATGCTTCTGTTCATCATATTTCCAAAAGTAAACGTATCCCGCATCCAAATCGCACCAAACTATGACGTTGGCACTTGAGGTGCAATCTGGTTAAACCACCCATCCACAGTCGCCGATTGAAAGCCAGGTCCAAATTCAAGGTTGGTCCAATCGACCAGCCTTTTAACCATAACCGAAAAATCCTCAATCAGCTCCGGGAACTCGGTGAATGAGCTTACGGCAGCTGATATTTTCTGACCTCGAGAAAGTCCCTGACTTCTTCGTCATAGGAATGGGGTAGAATATATTTGCCATAGTCGTGCCATCCATTCACCATCTCGGGGCGAGAATAAAACTTGATGTTTTCCCAGTACTCTGGATAATAGCCCGCATCTTCCCAGTCAAGCAGGCCAATCACTTGCATGCGTTCGTTGACAATAATGTTGTCGGGAGACAGGTCAGCGTGGCAGAAGACGATGCGATGTCGCTTTTGGTTGAGCCGGCGGAGATATTCGCGTCGAACATTGACTGGGGCTGCTGAAATTGTCGAAACCAAATACTTGTTGAAGTCTCTCTCGGTCTTGCATATGGGACCGAAGTGCGTTTTAGCAAGTCGACTGTCTCGAATATCCAAGCCATCACAGCTGCCGATAATTACGGGGGCATTCTCTGGAATAGTAAGACGCAGAAGCATATTCCGGACTTGATGAAAGACTTCGATTCTCTCCTCATGAGTGAGAGTGACCCAGATCTTGGTTAGGGACCGGCCAGCAATGTAGCTCATTTTGATGCTGTAGACGTCCTCGCCACCAACAGAGTATAAACGTTCGCGGCAGAAGATTTTCGGAACAGGCAAGCCCTGCTGACCGGCATTTCGGAGGGCAATACTCTCATTGGAAGTGATAAACTGACCCTCCTTGTAAACAACCCACCGTGTGCGGTGGCAAGCCAGATTGACCTGGCGGCCAGGAGCTTTGGATAAGAGGTAGTTGCCTAGTCAAGTTAGTATCGAACTGCAATATGGTCGGGTATGCTGATCGAGTTGACCTACTGGAGAATTCGAGTTCTTCGTCATGGTCATTATCCATGGTATCCTGCCAGTATTCTTGATACAAGGCAGCAAATGGTTTGCGCTCTAGTCTGTGCGGGCTTCCAACTTTGAACACTTGTTCATCCATGCGACGCTGAGGCTCAGAGGGATGATCGTTGCGCTCATCGCGGCTCGGGGTGGGTTTGCTGAGGAGCTCGATGCCGAGCCCATAGTCGCGGCTGCTGGGTAACGGTGGACGATGGCGCAGAGTCTCGGGAATCTTGATGTCGTCCATGTCGTCCATGAAGAAAATACCAAAGTCAAACTCTAAATCGTCGTCGAGTTGAGGTAGGAGAATGCCGTGTATTGTAGGGTCTGGGGTCTCGTAGAGATATGTCATGGGCGATGCGCGGTGCAATGCGGTGTTGTGGGAGAGTCAATCCCAACAGCTGGCGAAGAAAGGAGTGATCGAGTGGCTGTACGGGGTAGTTGCGGATGTGCAGAGACGGATGAATTGGCGAATAGGGTACAGGATCTTGTGGGTGGTTAAACCAGGAGGCGGGAAGCTGCAGGTTTATATGGATGCCCAGAACATGTGGTGAGAAGCAGCTGCGGGGAGCCTCACGAGTTTGCGGGTTGGCGTGCGTGACGCAGTGGCTCTTGTCCGTGTCTCTCGGCTCTGCTCCTCCCCAGTCGGTCGGTATTGACGCAGAATATTAAGATGAACAAGTGCGTGATTGGGTGTGAAGCGGATTGGCAAGTTGGTAGGTAGAAAAGGGTGGTGGTACTAGAGGGGTGCTTGTTGGTTTGGTGGCCAGAGAGCCGGGCTATTTGTGTGCGCAGCGTCGGTTCAGCCACAGGGTTTCTTTTGTTTCTTTTGTTTCTTTTCGGCGATTGAATATGCAGGGAATTGATATGTCGCCTCGTTGCGTTGCATCTGCGCCTGCGTCTGGGGGGAGCGTCTAGTTAGGACACAGGAGGGCAGGGCAAGGGGACTTGGGGAGGGTTGGAGAGGGCCGAAAATGCAGCTGAAGGGGAGGGGTGGTGGGTTTCATAGACCATGGCGCATGCATGAGAGAGTGGCCGGTTGAGAAGCTCTTGGGGATGCGAGGTAGGCGTACCGTAGTAACTAGAGGATGCAGGCTGGTGAAGATTGGCCCCGGCTTGGATTCCCCTGTCGTTGCTCGATGGTGTCCGCAATGAAACGGCGATTGGCGGTGGCGGTCGAGGCCAGGTAGACAAGTGGGCAATGTTTCGGAAGTCTGCAGAGTGGACAGGCCTTGTGCTTTTGCTGAATGGGATGTGTACTGGCACCATTCACACGAGGTGCAATCAAACGTGTTGGGAGGGCCAGACAACGATGCATGGTGGGCGGAGGGTGGCGTATGTGCCCATGGTCCATGTCGTGGCCTTGCATGGTAGCCGTTTGGCTGTGCAACAAGTATCATTCAGGCAGTCGAGAAAGGGCAACATTGCATAGACGAGAGCAAGGATGATGGCGTGGGAGTGGATGTGTTTGATGAAGCCATGGTGGAGGGGGGAGGCGGCTGCGAGAGTGTGGAGGAAACTGTCTGTCTACCGTTAGTTACCAGCTGGGTATGAGTTGAGCAACAGAATGCGGCTGGTGTCAGTTGGCGGGAAGGCCCACTGTTGCCCACTAGCCCAGCCGTCTTTAAGTCCCTGTAAGTGAGTGAAATCGTGAAATCGTTGCCCTTGCCCGCTGTGGTAGCAATTGTTACAGCGAGCAACCCCCTGAATGCCTCGAAAAGCCCGTGGGAGTCCCGCTAAAAGCCGTCCAAAAATCCCCCTAAAGCCACTCTAAATCCTCCAAATCCCTCCGAGACCCCCTTTTGACCTCCCAGGACACCCACTGTTAGCCCTGTAAGCCCCGTAAGCCCTTTGAACGCCTCCCCACCAAGAACGTCTGGGCCAGACTGCATGCCACCCAGAAAGGAAGCTCGCGGTCGCCACCACTCACCCTCATCCTCAACCTCGACTGCAAACGCTCTGCATGCCTCATCTATTTGGTCCCGTCTTTCTTCTTCCTTCTTCCACCCTCTCGCAGGCAAGTCACCAACACACAGCCTGCATTGCATTCCCATCCGCTCTCCCGTCTCTCTCGTCCGCAGCAGTTGCCCTGTGGCTGCAACGGCCAGCTGTCAATGCTACCTACCCTTCTAGACGCCGTGTCATATTAGGTCCCATGAAGCAAAAAACGACAAGATCACCTCCATCACCAACATCACGCCACAATTGTCATGCCACATAAACTCCCGGCTTATACCCCGACCTTCTTGAGCACATACCGTCCCTCCGGACGGCCGCGCATTCCACCCCTTGATCCAGAGCCTTGCAGTGCACCCCATCCCCTGATCGGACGCCTGCATATTCTGCCCTTTGACCAGTGCAACTTGCAAATTGTCAGCACAAATGCTGCCAAACCACACCCGCATCCGCGGGATGATCCTCCCCCAAGAAGGACCGACAGTTCTTTGCTGATTTGCTTCGGCGATGGCCCATGACAAGCCACCAAACGGCCACTGCTCACGCATCGTGACGACTGATATTGACAACTATCAACGTCGAGATTTTGATATGCGTCCTTGCGCACACACCTCAGCATTGGCTTCGCATATTTGGCCGCTTCGTTGTTCCGGGTTCCCGGTAACTATCGCGTCGCACAGTACAAATTAATTCGTATTAACGTCTGTTGGTTTCCCGTGCTGCAACCCTGCCAAGCTGCACTCCCCATCGACTGGGGTGTTGAATTCCATGAGACATTACCGAGTGTGTCAGGGCGCTCTCAGCGGCCGCATTCCGCAGTTTCCTTCTAACCTTCTTGCGTAAAGGGTCCCGCTGCTCCATGTATATCGCAGAGCCCTTTCAAACTTCCAGCGTCGTCTCTACCAGAGATTCGGACATGTCGCCGTCGTGTCTCGCCTTGGTACCATCTTCGTCCATTCTACCACGAATCGAAGGACATTTGCCGTTATGGTAAGGGACACATTGTGCAACTACGCCACGCTCGTTTACCAGGCGAGTTTCATAATGGAATGCGATAGCTGTGTTGACAACGGTCCAGCCGTTTTCGCTTGCATGAACCACGCCTACATAATATAGTTATATTGCATCGCCGTCTCCAGGAGGATCTCTACAGGCTCCGCCACCAAACGAGAGAAAACTGGTGTCGTGTGACAGGGAAGAGGTCACTAGAGACCGGGGTAGGCTGGACCCCAGGTTACTGGTAGTATTACGAAGTATCACAAGTTCAAACTGATCAACTCGCGCATTGTCAGAAACTTGATTCGTCAGCCAATGGCAGATGCACCCCAGCACCCCAGTGCGGTGGCGCATCTGACGAAAATGCGCCAAGTCGGGGCGGGCGCAATATTGTGACGAACCAGTTGAAGAGCGCAATGTGGCATCGTGACGGAAAGCAGCAGGGGTCATCCTGTCTCCCGTTCTCGTTCTCGGCGCAGCATGACCTGATGATTGCGGACTCATCTTTCGACGCTCTTTCTCGCGGAGCCGCAGACTCGAGGGAAACGAGGGCAGGGCTGGCTGCTAGTCTGATCGTTTGGCCGGACGGGAAAGATCCGTCCATGCCGTCACCCACTCCACAACCCGTTGGTGATGAATGGTGAGAGTCTTGGCCGACAGGGTCGATGCCGGTCGTTCTGGAGGCAGGTTGCACACTCCGTTCCTTATTGTCTGCATTGCTTACATTGCCGCTGCATGGTCTCGACGTTGAATGCGACCGCGGGAAGGGCATGCAATCCCATCATGGTTTCATTTGATCCATTTTGACATATATTATAGGTGATAGGATCGTCTGTTGTCTGCGGCCACGCTCTCCAGGTCGATATTCCACGTTATGGAGAAAGCACCGCGCTACCACAAAGACATTTATTTACGTGAGTATTCCCTCGTAAGCACGTCTCACAGCCAATCATCAGTTACGGTTCTCCGCATGGAGTATGTTGGTCCACGTTTATTGCTCGATTGCGCCCATCATGCGGCACGTTGCTTTCACTTTTTGCTGTCCAGGCGCATGTCAAGTTTGTAACTAGTTAATGTATGAAAGGAGTCTTGGCCCCCCGAAGGAATCATGCCGCAGATTGTCTCATCCTCTGGCAAGAAAAAGGAAACAAAGAAAAAAAAAGCAATTGTAAGCTAGTACGGTGCAGAAATAGGCAATACGGGTTGGCACGGAAATTTTCCGGTGATCCATGTTGATCCCCTATCAACCTCTGCGCCAGGGACCATTCAAAAACGTTGGCAATCGGGAAGTGACGGGTTGATTGTCCGCATCACGAACTACCCAAAATAAAACAAAAATGAGGGTCGTCCTTCGCGCAATTTTTAGTCAGGTACTCCGTATAGTTGTACAACTATCTCCGCAGTGAGTTTGTTTTTCTCGGTTATATGGCGGCAATCGATCCGGAGACCCGATCGAGTCGGAACGAGTCCGAGTCCGAGTCCGTGTTTCACTGCTTCGCCTGATGCCAAGCGAATTCAGATGCTCATTCCATGCTTTCATTTCTTGACCGGAAACGGCAAGATGGGGCGAAGACGGGAAGAAAAATATGGGCGTGAATAAGAAAACGAATTGACTATCTCTTAAAGTTGTGTTGCCTTGTATGCAGCTCAGGGCCGAGATGCCGAGTCCAGGTTCGTTGCTACAAGATGCACCTTGCAGGTTGGAGGCCGAACTCGTTATACCGTGCTCTTTCTAGTATATACCTTCTTTTGCATATGCATGCAGTGTGACGACGGTGCCACATAGAACGTGCAAGCTGGGGGGGTTTGATCGGGCGCGGACGCAGCGCAGGGTGAGAGAGAAGCCCGAATGGAGCCCGATGAAGAGTGGTGTTTTGTTTTCCGTCTTGTTCGTCCCTTTTCGTTCTTCTTCGCTTCTCGAAAGTCTTGATTGCTTTTTGCTTTTGCTCGTTCAAGAGGTACGTGGCAGCAGGGGAATGTTGGCAACACCGCCTCGTCTTGGTAGTCATTACAAGCTGGTTTGGCTTTCTCGGAGGAGCGCATTCCGCGGTCGACGCTACAGAGGGAACATGGATTTGCCACTGCGACGACAAGGTGGTGTTGTCTGCTTTCATCCTTCTTTTCTCTTTCCCTGGGCTGGGTTTCCTCATGGATGGTGAGTGAACTGGGAGTGGGTTGTACTACGCTGGCAACGCGTGCTCCCTCGGCTGCAAGCTGGGAGACGCACGCAGTACTCCGTTACGCGGATCGGACATCCTTTGCCCCATGTACATGTTCCTTCTTCTTTTTAAAGTTTATTGCTGAATGCTTGGCATGCGCACTCGCCGACAGCCGAGTTTGTGTCGAGGCGAGAGAGACTGCAACTAACACCCACACATGAGCGGCAAAGCAACCGTGACTTCTCGTACATGACAAGACAAAGATGAAACAAAAGAAGACGTTGCTTGCAAAGCTGGCGACGGTAGCATCCCGGGATATCCGCGCGACGGCGGCTTTGCATCTCACCGCCGGCCTGTGCCGCCGGCCGGTGTGCTGGAACTGGTAACTAGTGCTCACAGTTGATGGCTTTGCCCGGGGGGTATGCATCCTTGAGCTAGATACCATCAGCTTCTGCAAGCGACACTTTGTAGAAAGTGATACCGATACGAAGATGGCGTGTCTCGTGCCCGGGTTCTTATGAGGCGTCGAACAATCACAGCCGTCAACATGCTGGGAAGAGGAAAGGCAGGATTCAGTGGGGTTCGGCTCGGAGGAAGCTCCGACGAATAACGCGTGCGTATTGGCGAACAGTCCAGACCATGAACCAACCGGTTGTGGCTTGATCACCTTTCTTGGATTTTTATTTTCTTCCTGGTTTATTATTATTTTATCCGGTGATTTGCTTGAGACAATCTGCCCTCTTTGCTTTTTGCCGGACCACGACGACGGGCCGAGGCCGCCGTCGATTAGCGCCAACAAGACCCCTGTAGGCATGTGCTGGTACCTGTCAGGTAACGCAAAGCAGCAACATGTCAGCGCGGGCTGTCGTTTCGGATAGAAAACGGGCGTGGAAGACGGTTGCACGGCATTGTGTCGTACGGCTGGAGAGTATCAGCATTTCTTTCGGCAATTAAGGAAATGCAAGTGAAGAGCGACGGTACGAACACGGCTTTGCAGAGGAAGAAATGTACGGATCTGTACCTCAAGTCACGGCACCGTCAGGGACCGCATCCACCTTTTTCTCCAGCGACGCTGTCCACTAAAAATACCGCAATTACCACTAAAAAACCACCTTCAACGCCACCACAACCACCACCACAACCATCACAACCCTGAAAGCCACCACTCAATCGTACCTAGGTAGGTACCGAGGTACCAAACAACAAGTACCTTTTTACCATGGCACCACTTAACACCCACACATTGCTCGTTTGAAATACCTTTACCCACTGTACCTGCCTGGAGTGCCTCCTCTCTCGACCCTTTTTTTTTGCCCCAAGTTTGCCTACCGACATCATCACCAAAACATCCTTCTCTCTCTCCGCCACACAATTGCACGCGACCTGCCCTGTTACCGACACGCCACCTCTCTCTCTTGTTTTTGCTGTCTCCCTGTCTCAGTCGAATCGACAAACCCGTTCCCTCCACCCACCCAACTTCAAGCCACACTATCCTTGCACAAAAAAGAAAAAACCACAACGCACTCCGCCCGTCCTCTAGTCCTGGACCCCTGGCTCCAGCAGGCGGCGACTCGGCCTCCAGGTCCCTCCGCCATTTGCACCTGCACACGCCTGCTGCTGCAGCCCAACCCCAGTCCGCCCTCTTTGTTCATTCTCTTTGTGTCACTGTGATTTGAGAAATTATCAGGGCACGCACACGGAGCCGAGTTTCTTGGAGGACCTCCGAGCTCTTTCTGAGGAGCTGACGCAAGTCATACGGCCCTTTTTGGTCGCGCCATGATAGCCGTACTCGCGCACCGCCGCCCATCACAATGACGAGGCAACCCTCCGACACCTTTCTTCCCTCTGGAGGCTTCCACCACGACGCCCTACTTCCAGCCTCCCCTACATCCGCCAGCACAGTCGAGCTCTCCACCGCGTACGACCTGCAACCAATCTACGAATACCACACGCGCAGCTCCTCGCCCGCTGCTGCTGCGGCTGCTGACCCTCGCTTCGCCCATTCCGCGCCACTCTTCAACTATGCGTCCTCCCACATACCCCTCGCCTCCTCGCTAAATCCTGCCATTCGTCGCGATAGCAGCCTCTCACCCACCGATATTGGCGTCGCCAGGGCCCCCAGGCCCTCGATGCCGCCGCCTACTGTCGGCAGCCTGTCCCGCGATACTGTCTCCCCCAGCTTGGCTGTTGCCACGTCGCTCACTCGCTCTGTCTCTGCAGATGCCGCCGCGCCGCAGCAGACGTCGCTCCATCTCGTCCAACGGCTCGTCCAGCAAAACTCGCTGATTCGCGAGGCGTGGGAGGCTGAACGTAAATATCTCGAGGCGAATCGCAAACGCGCGGAAGAAGTCTACCAGGAAGAGCGCACCATCATGATGGATATGCGCGAATCATGGGTCGGCGAAAGGGCCATCATGCAACGCGAACTGCATGTACTGCGGGAGCGTCTTCAGCATCTGGAGAGCGAAAATGCTGGCCTCAAATCGTTGACTTCACCATCCAGTCAACTGAGCGGCTTGGTATCGCCTGCCGCCGCCGTTGGCAAGTCCCATGCCGACTCGCTGCCACCTGGTCTGCAGGGCGCCTCGCAGCGGCCTCACTTTCTCAGTAGTAACGGATCGCGCACATCTCCAATGGGCAACCCTGATCAGTCTGCGTCCATGCCTCTCGATCCGCGCACTCAGCCGGAGACATCTTCTACTCGAGACTTTCTCGTTTCTCGCAAGAGGACGAATGATGCCCCGATTCCCCTCATTGACGTCCACGAGATCGACCCTAAGCTAGACGGCATCTTCCTCAAGGCCAACGCAGTCCGCGACACCTTTACTCAGTCTTCTGTCAAGTCTTCTGTCAAGTCTTCTGTCAAGTCTTCGCCCGCAACGTCACCACCCGCGGATCAGAGCTCCTCAGAGCAGGAGGGTGCGCCCAACAAGCGACGGGCCTCCTCCAAGGCTCAGACGATGCAAGCACTCGCAGCCGGCGAGCTGCGCCGCAGGACGATGCACGCGGGGCACACACCTAACCACTCTCTGTCTCTTTTTCCCACGATGACAACGCTGGACGGCAGCATGACGGCCGGTCAAAGTGAAGCGACGACGCCTACGGCGGCGAACAAGCCGGTCGAAGAAGATTGTCAAGAGCCCGAGGCCACCACCGAGCCAGACCGTGCTGATGCAGCGCTAGAGACGGACAAATTGCCAGACGCTCCGGTCGACGACATGGACGAGACGCTCCGTCTTGAGCCCAAGGACGACATTCCACTCAAGGGTCCTCTCATGGTCAAGAACATTCCGGCGCAGGATGAGATTTTCTGGGCCCGGGTCAACCAGAAGCTCGAGGGCATCAGCCACGGCGAAGAGGAGGCGCTGCCTACCGTCATGAAATCGCAGTTGGCGGAACATGAGAAGTCAATGACCAACGGTGCGTCCGAGGCTTTCGAAGCGACCAAACCGGTCGAGGTGGACGTACCTCTCAAGATTCGCACAACGACCAACTTTGGCGCTCCGTTTGGCGTGGCATAGCGTGTCCGTCCATCTACTCGGCGAACCAGAACTTGGCCGTTTTGAGGGCTCACATGTGCTTCCCTGTCATCTCTTGAGCTCTGATGGCCTTCTCTTGGGCGCTGATGTTGATCTTAGCATCGCATCAGCTTTACTTCATGTCTTCTACGATACTTTATTTCCCTTTGTCACTATTGCAGCATGACGGACTTGACGGTCCCCCAATCACTGTTTTATACCCCCCTTACCCCTGTTTTACACATGACACACACCGTGTCCTTTTTTTTTTTCTAGAAATGGCGAATTCATCGTTGGGCATGCTTAAGCGAGCTTTTCCGTATGGGCTTTTTATTTTATATATAGACACACTTGTCTTTTTGACTTGCTTTGATGGGATAAAAAGATGTAGATGCATACTTTGTTGTTGCTTTGGGATAATCATTTATAGCTACAAAAGTTCTTGTATATATATTCGTTGCTGTGATGGCTGTCGGGGCAACGTTTACCTGGACTAGACCAATTCGATAGACTGTTTTAACTATCTTCTTGCTCGGAAACGGCAAATGACTTGTTACCGCACCGTGTGATTATAATGCAGTTCTGGGTTGCGCAAAGATGCTCATCTATTCTGCTTTGCTGATCCTGCCTGTCTGGAAAAATTAAAAGAACAGAAATAACACGGGGGCGAAACATCCCAACAGAAAAACGCCGCACAGCACAGAAGAATGAGTGAAGTCGCTTCCGTGTCTCCAACATTGATAAATATATCTTATAATAGATGTTTTCATTAAAGTGGTTTTGCTCCATAACCCAACACCGCTCCCATCTTTATACGCCCATAGTAAAGTCGTGCTCGATACCTGGCGTGACGCTCGCCATGAACTGCTTCCGTTAGTACCTACTGTTTGAACAAAACAACGGCGTGAGTGGCACATACCTTGAGAAAGACGACGAGATACTGATCCACGCGAATGGCCACCTCATTCTCGTCTACCGCCTCCGTCTGCTGCACCTCTTCCCACTCGTCCTTGTCCGCCGCCTCTTGCGCGCCCTTGACGTCCAGCCGGCCAATCTCGTCCACCAGGCCCTCCATGCCGGCCGGCGTCGTGGCCGTCTGCTGCTCGCCCTTGGCGGCCGCGGCGCGCATCTTGTCGCGGCGGATGCGCAGCGCGGCGTCGGCACGGTCCAGCAGCGTCTTCATGACCGAGGCGTGCTTGCAGGGATGCACAGACGCCATCTTGATGTTGTGGGCGAAAAAGGGAAAGTCTTCAAGGGTGACGGTCTTGTCTTTGTAGTCGCCTACAATGTCGTCCATCATGTCCTGCGGTGGCAGGGGCTGCCCGCTCGTCTGGTAGCCGGAGAGGTAGAGACGCGGCGTGCGGTAATACGGCGTGTACATGATGTAGAGGGTATATGTGCGTCGGCCGCTGTCAAAGACGTTGGTTAGTTACATATCAACATGTGGTTTCTCTTATTTGTGTTGGAAGCGCACCTCTTTTGAGCGCCGTCTCCGGCGTCACGGATAATAGCCTCGTCGTCATCCTCATCCTCCATGTCCGGAATATCATCCTCCTCGTCATCCGCCACGCCCACGTTGCCCGCGTCGTCCACCGTGCGCACATCCCGCGCCTTGAGCGGCTGCGAGCTGGCCAGGCCGCCCGTCCGCAGCCAGCCGCCGTCCTCGTCCGCGCCCGCGGCGCCCGACTTGAAGCCGTCGTGGACGACCGATTCCTCGTGGCCCGCGTCGCCGGCAAAGTCGTCGTTGAGACGGCGGTCACACGGCACGTTGCGGGTGACGAGGTACTGTTTGCCCTCGGGCAGGTAGGCGACGCGGCGGCTCGCGTCGTCAGCGTCGCCCCACGCCCACGTCGGGAACTTGTATACGAGGTAGTCGCCGGCGGCGACAAACTCCTCGGGCGTGATCTGGCCCGTCTGCCGAAAGGTGGACGTGTGCGAGACGGGCGTGTACCGGTCACGCAGGGTGTTGACCGTGGAGTAGATGTAGTTCATGTCTGCGGGAGGATGGGGCACAGGCCTCTATGATGTTATTTATCGGTTGTATTCTATCGGTGGTGATTTCTGATGATGGGTTGGTCGTATCGGTTCGAGCTGTTGATGTTCTTGCTAGCTTGGGGCGGGTGGTAATGGATGCAGGGTCCAGGCAGTACTCGGGACAGGGCCGGGTCCAGAGTGCTGGGTTAGATGAAGAGAAAGTCCAGGCAGCGTCGGATGACAATGTCGGTATGACCTATGATGGTTGCTTATGACGACTTGTATGGTTGAGGTTCGTCACATGGTGGGGGGAGGTGGGGGAAGGTCAAGCGGCCAGTGGCGACGGCGTCTCTGCCTGGTGATTGGGCGAAGTGTCCGAGAGCGCTGCCTGGAGCAGCACAACTGGTCGCTAGACGCAGCTTGAAAAGTAATTTCATACTTTTCAGCCACACGTCCGTTTACTGTAAGTCGTGTCTTTATCGAGTTGCATCCATCTTTTTGGCCCCGTACAAAAGAAAAGGGTGGTGGTGTACATGGGAGTCGTTGAAAGCGGCGAGAAGATGAACATTGTGAGGGCTTGACTTTCATGGTGGTTTGGTATAGATAGGGTAATACGTTGTCAAAATGACAACAAAATATGCAATTCGGGTATTCCGCGCTTCTAAATGCTCAGTCCCTTCAACTCCCTTGCCCATGCTATAAACTTTTGTATTGTACATATAAAAACCCATCACGTCGTCAGCTTGTCCTCTCTACGCCACATCTTCAGCCGCCTCCTCCTCTTCCTTCTTCCTCTCCGCCCGCTCCTTCTTCTTATCCAGCAGCTTCTTCAGCTTCTTGGCCGAGTTGAACACGCCATTCGTGCCCACGCCGCACGCCGCGCACGTCGGGTCCTTGCGGTAGCGCTTCAGCGCGCAGGGCTCGCAGAAATAGTGCCCGCAGCGGGTCAGGACGGGCTCGCGGTAGTCGCCCTCGCAGATGATGCACTTGAACGGGATCTTTTCCAGCATGGCCTCCTCCTCGGCATCTTCACCCTTCACGGCTGGCGTGTCGCGGTTGGCGCTGGCCACGACGGTGCCGCCCAAGTGCGTCTTGCCCTTGGACGCAATGTCCCAGTCTTTGTCCAGCTGCCAGCCGTGCTTGACGTCCTCGCGCGAGTGCAGGTACTTGCAGTTGTCGCCGAAGCCGCAGAAGCCCGTCTTCTTGTAGTCCTTGCAGACGTCAGGCGCAAAGTCCATGACAGTCACAGTGCGGATGTTGGTCGCCGCCTTGATAGGCCCGACAGAGCGCTGCGGCGCGTCGGGGTTCCGCGCGAGAAACGACGTCTGGTTCGCCAGGCCCTTGTATGTGCCTTCCGACGGCGCTTTTGTGCTCCGCGCGGCGGAAGAGCCGAGTAAGTTCTCGGCGGACAGCGCGTCGGCGGCGTGCTCGTCGTACCAGTTGGTCTGCTTGGTGGCGTCGTTGGCGGACGTGATGGGGACGCTGCGGTCGGCCGTATACGCTGACGCTGTGACTTCTCTTTGGGCAGTGGTGCCGACGGCTTTGGAAGAGGCCGTCACGACGGCCGTCTTCTTGCGGCGCTTGACGCGCTGGCCCGACCCGTCCTCGGACGACGAGTAGTCGCTGTCGCTGTCGCTACCTGCGGGCGGCGGCGTCGCGGGACGCTTGCGAATGTTGGCCTTGCCCTTGGCGCCGCGCTTTTTGAACATGGCGACCGGGGCAGCGGTCGCAGCTTCGGAGTCCATGATGGAGTGTGTGCGACAGCGATTTTGCTGCAATTCGTGGTCGGCGATGGTAGGGACTGGACGGTCTGGCGAAGTTGATTGAAGCTGAAATATTCTGCCCGAGTTCTAGCGGGCTCCAGCACTAACCGATTGCTGATGGCGCTGTACAGGGCCAGTCAGCCAGCAGTGGCGATAAGCAAAGCTTGATTCATCAGCCACGAAGTTCTAACTAGGAGGAAAAGTAGCAATAGAATTTATCTTGAGCCTTCTCATTGAACTAGCTAGTCTTGATTTTTCTTGGTTTCCCCTCGATTTGTGCAGTATTCCACATAGGGTCTATTTCCTTCTGGCCAAGCATAGGTGGTGGCAACCTAGGTACCTACCTAGGTAGGTACCTAGGTAAGTAGTAGTAGTATATTATACGCTAATTAGGCTAAGAAGCCTATCTAGTACCGCTATAGTTACTAAACTATAAAGATATAGGAAAAATTAAAATAAAAATTAAAATAAAAAACCTATACTATTACCTACTTAATATAGCTTAATAATGTAGTTCCTAATATCTCTATACACTTCTATCTTAAGGAATATACCTAAAAATACTACCTTTAGTAGAAGGTATCTTACTACCTAGAGCGCTACTATTATATAGTAAGATAACGTGACTTAGTTTTTAGTGCTAATCCCGCTGCTGTTAACATAGCAGATCACGCTCCTACTAACGTAAGGTAGACTGCGCTGCTGTATCGTAGTAGATATAGAAGGTAAACTCTCTAAATCCCTTTAAGAAAAACAAAAGGCGTGCCGAGGCGCCTCCTGTGCCTACATCCCCCCCTTTTTAAAAAGGCGGTGTTAATGTAGGAAGAGAGTTGTACCTACCTAGGTAAGTACCTATGTAGGTACAAGGTACCTATGTAACTTTCGAAGGATTGGTAATCTGGCCACCGAGTCGATGATATTGGTCTGATCTCAACATCTCAACGATCACTAAGCAGTTTACCCATCTTTGAACGGACCACAACGCAAACGCAATGAAATTATGCGGTGCGAGTGCCCTACGAGGCTTGGTGGTGATTGCACGCATCAAACATTCTGCGGTGTTTGGTCCATACGAAATAGTACAGGACTTTGAGTGACCAACCGTACTATGTAAGAACGCCGCCTCGTGGCGCAAGTGCCGCACTGGGGAGGGAGTGTGGCCTGGAGTGGTTAGGGCATCAAGGGCAGCAATGGCGACGAGCTTCGGTGTTCCTTTTTCGTATTTCCTTCCTCTGCCTGGATTTCTCACCATGTTCTCGAATAATTGCAGTTGTCTTGATGACGCGCTTCAAAAATGTGGACCATTGACCATCCAGTCGCGTCTTTCATGGCCAACATGCGTAGCTTTGCGAAAAGCCTGGTCGTAATCGAATAACCAATTTGGCTTCGGTCGTGGTACTTTCATTTTCATTATGATTGTGTCGTTGTAGTCTGCAACTGTCAAAACGTTCGGAAGTGTGGCTCAAGGCAAGCGCAGTCTGGCTCATCAGTGTAACTCAACAGCTCAGGCACAACGCACCGGAGGATTACAAGGGGCGCGACTTGTGTGACGTTGATCGCGGAGTTATTCCACTAGTAAATAGTCATCAAAGTGACGTACTCGGGAGTAGTTATGTACATATGCTGCGGCTGCTATCAAAGAATATATTCTGGCTGCTTTGAATCATTCAACTGCCTAGTCGCACCAACACGCGTCTCGCAAGCCACAGTTGGCCATGCATAAAGATGGGAGTACATAGATAGGTAATCTGTCAGCTTATGCAAATACGCTCGTCCGATATGACGCATTATTTTCGGCAGCAGGGAGTGGACAAAGAAAAGAAAACAAACCCATCCACGTACCGGGTAAGTACAGCGATCAGTTGTTTCTTTGTGTTTTGTTGCGCGAGCAATACAGGCCGCTGATTGGCCGGAGAGGCCGATGACATTGTTGACATGGGGCCCTTGCACGGCAGAACATCAGTGTGGCTTTTTAGCCAAATGAGGTAGTATTATGCAGCGACGCATAATTGCGAGGCGCCTAAGGATAATGTGGGATAACGGGAGAGGATTTCAACGATTGAGTCATACAGAAATGCCGGTTGTTCTACATTGACATATCGTGATGCTGTTATGACTGTTTCAAGTGTAAGTCGTAATGACAGGTGGTGGTACGGAGTACTCGGTGAGTACAGGTAGGTACGTACTCTCTACCCTGGGTACTTCAGGGAGGAATGGGTTGCTGCAGATATGAATAAGGCCGAGTACAGAGTCAAGTGGACTTGGAGATGGGACGGTGGGGAAGGACGAGCAAGCACTGACTGGTATGCCGATTATAGAAACATGTAAACAAAGACTGTCGTCGCTGGTTGAAACAGAAGTAGCGAGAGGACGGGGGTGTCGATGGCGCAGAGCACGAGCATGGTTGGCTGAAGGCATGTCACAGCCCAGCAAGTTGTTGATAACTAATTGATAATAGATGTGATGAGGTTCTTGGTGCCTGGAACTGGCTAGCCAGTCCTGATCTAGCGTTGTCTTAATCTGGGCTGCCACTGGGCGGGCGCTGTGCCTGGATTTCTGGATCTGTTTTGCGCTGGGTCGTTCACTCAAGAGCTCTTGCGCGCCGTCTTGGGCGCGCGTCCAACATGTCTCTGCCATCTGCTTCATCACAAGATCAACGTCTCGGATGGTCTTGCAGAGACATGGCTTTGCGGATATTGGTGGCATAATTTGTACTTTTCTTTCTTTTTGCTTCGTTCGCCCTTACGTAGATGCGCAGATACAAGGCGCACAGCTGCCGCTTCTACAAGCTGGTTGGTTAGCGCGCTGCAACTCCAAGCCTGAGCCCTGCAGACACCAAAAGCACTCCCTGCAGCTCCCCATATCTCCCCTGTAATAAGCGCTGACCCAGCTGCCCACCACAAAAAAAAAGACAAACAACATCATGCACGATTGTGCGTGCTCTTCTTCTCCTCCCCCCTCCTCTCAAGGTGCTTCTTCTCCTTCGATGCCCTCCATCGCCACAGAGCTCACGCAGATCTCGTCTCCGCGCTGCTGAGTCTACATCAATTTCAAAGATCCCTTGCCTTCCTGCCGCTCATTCCATTTTCCTCTTCACATATTTTCTTCCATTTGCGACGCGTCCTTTGATATCTCGGCCCCCGCTTCGCTGTCTTTTCCTACCCGTCCGCATCTGTCTAGCCCAGTTCGCGATTCTCCTTCCGTGTCCTGTACGCCCCGAAAGAAAGCTTCGCACACGTTTAATCTAATTACTGGAAAATTGGAAAAAAAAAAAAACCATACTCCTTCAACGACTCACGACATCACCATATTCCTGCTCGACATCTGTTCGACCTTCGATTCGTTCTTTTAATATCCTTTTCTTGTCCTACCTGCTCGGTCAAATACGAAAGACAAGTACTATTACGGGTGGCGCAAACCCCGGAAAATAAAACGACTCGAACCTGTTTTCCCTTCTTCTCTGGTCCGGCTTGGCTAACGGCCCAATCAACAACACGCGTCATTCCAGCACAAGCTTCTGCGGCGCCTAACCCGACCGGACACTGTGCGGCGCATTTTGCAGCCCCCCTCAGACTGCGAGCCCAGCACAGGCATACAAAACCAAGTTCTCTTTACTTGCCTTCAACAATTCGACCTTCTTCCGTTAGTCTCGCCGAAATATCTGGCTTGTCTGCTCAAATCGGTGCCGCAATCGTCCCCATTTCCGTACCGCTGGACCTGCGTCTTGTCTCTCCTGACCCCTGCTTGATCCTCCGCTTTCGACGCAAGGGGCCTTTCAATTAGCATTACACTTTTCCAGCTTCCGAGCGACTGCAGACAAAACACGTCTCCTCCTCAGAGCTCTCTCCGTCATCGTATTGCCCCCTCTGCAACCAACACCCACCAGCTTCCCGGCCAGCTTCATGGTCCCCCGCTGGCCTTAGGCGGTCCTTCTGTTGTTTCCTTCAGTATGGCCTCGTCTATTGCCTCGGCCAGACCCAATCTCGCTGCGCCTGTCGACGAAGATGCAGCCAACGACCCCTTCGTCACCAGCACATCCTCTGCTGTCCACCATCGCTTCTCAGCTTTTGACCATGAGCTCTTTGCTGCTGGGCCAGGCTCTTCACCCCGCCAGGCCAAGCGCGCCCTCGAGGCACATATAGCCGAGACCGAGCGCCGCCTTGATGAGGCGGGCAAGCTTGGCACTGCTCTCGTCTCCCAGCGTAAGGCGCTGGCCGAGCAGTTGCAGGAAATTGACAAGCTCCAGGCACAGGGCGAATTGGGTCCCGAGCTCCGCCAAAAGCTGGTCGAAATCGAGCGCGAATACAACGATTTGGCTCGCGAATCCGCGCGCGCTTTTCTACCAAAGAGGATCCCTTCTAATGAGAATGGTCCCGCCACACCATACGCACCCGACGGTCGTACTGGCAGGGTACGTTTCCTAGTTCGCCTATTTTCTCCAAACGAGCATTTTGCACCGTTTCTAACTTGTTCCCGTTACACAGCGCTCCATCAGCCCTTCCAAGTTCGATGGCCATGCCACCGGCTCTCCCACAAAGCTCACAGTTCCCAAACGTAGGGCTAGGAACCAGCAGTCCAATCGTATACACGACATTGAATTTGCCGCCGAAATTAGTCAATCGCTCATCGCACAGGTCCGCAATCTGCAGTCCCTTCTTTCCGAACGGGAAGAAGAAGTCAAGACCCTGCAAGGCGAAAAGTCCCGACTCGAGATTGATACCGAAGGCTTGTACCAGCGCCTCAAGACACTCGATGAGAGCGAGCACCGCTACAAGGACGAAAATTGGAACCTCGAGACCCGCATGCAAGAAATGACCTCGTTGCAAAAAGAAGCCTCCGACAAGGAAAAAAAATTGAGCCAGGCCCTTGGCCTTGCCAAGATGGAAAAGACGGTCGCCCAAAAGGAGCTCGACGAGGTCAAGGCCTCCCACGCGAAACTCACCGAGGATCATGCGGCTGCTATGAAGCTCCATGACATCGAGCTTGGCTCTGCCAAGCGCAATCTTACCTTGGGCGAGGATGAGCGTACCTCTCTTCAGAAAAAGATTGACGATTTGACTGGTCAGAATCAAGAGCTCGCCAGAGCCTTTTCCGCGCAACGCGGCCGGCTGATGAATCGTGAACTCGGTTCTGGATTGAGCGACGAAGACTTTGATACAGCGACCGAGAATGCTACTCCCGAGCACTCGCCTCCGCCTTCCCCAATCAAGGGCACTCCTCGACACGCTGTCTTGGAAACAGAGACTGTCAAAACTTCTCTGGGCCACGCACAAAGGACAATTCAAAGTCAAAGAAACCAGTTGCACCGCGAAAAGACGGAGAAGCTCGAGCTACGTCGCATCATTCAAGATCTGCGCGACGATTTGGACAAGCTGCGAGTCGACGCTGGCGGCAACACGAGTGCCAACCGCCGTCGCAAGGTCGACTCGAAGGAATTTAAGCGCCCTTCCAAACTTCTTGGTAGCATGCGCTCCGGCAAGCATGAGATTTTCCTGGATGACCCTGAATGGGAGGAGAATGACGGCAACTCGCCTACTGGTAGTCCTACTGCCGCAAGACGGAGCATTCTGCCCTCCACAGAACCGAGCGACCATTTCGAGACTGCCAACGAGGCCAGCGAATCTGCGTTTGAGACGGCCAACGAGCGCGCAACTGAGACGGACGACTTCCAGACTGGCCACGAAGACATGTCAGATAGTGATGGTGCCGCAACCGAGACTGAGTCTAGAGGCTTCGGCAGAATGAAGCAAACCCCCAACTTGCCTGCTGGTCTTGCTCGCCTGAGCAGCCGCGAATCTTTCCACAGCACTGCTTCAACCTCTGCTGACGAGGCTCTTGATATCCTGCCTGATGTGCGCACGCCTACTGGCACCGTCTCGTCCACCAGGAGTCGCTTTAGCCTCAGCCGTCTGCCTTGGTCTCGTCGCTCTCGCCAAAACAGCGAGGAGCCCGCCGTTCAGAGTAGCCCAGTCAGCCATGCTGGTAGTGCAGGTACCCCGCGTGTGGCTGGTCAGAGCTTATTTGCTGAGCTTCAAGACTTTGACGGTAGTGAGGATGAATCCGTGGGTGGCACGCCCCGCACGCGTACCGTCCGATCCGTCACCCCCGGGTCTACGCGCCGCACGCTCTCACCCGCGCCTCCCATGCCTCGACGCGCTGTCATGGTCGACAGCTCAACAATGACGGAACCGTTCTCTGTGCTGCCCCAAACTGTGGAAGCAATTCGGCCTACCTCTTCGGGCTCCGTCATTTACGCAAACCGAGAGTTGCCAGAAGGACGATCGAGCTATGCCACGACGACTGAGACAGATGCATCGCGCCCTGCGTCCGCTTTGTCCAACAGCGACATGCACGAAGAGATTGCCCGCTTCCCTATTCCACCAAATGCTGTGACCCCCAAAGAACTGGCTTTTTCTTCTATGCAGACCCAGTATACCGAGCCCCGCGAAGCATTTGCCGTACCGCCTACCTTGAAGATGTCCAATATTCTGGCCGAGCACA